GTTCTTTTTTTTTCTTCTTTTCCCAACCCGTTTCTAATATTTGGCGACAGAACGAAAATTTCAGCTAACTTCTCTAAGGGTGGCCAGACTTGACAACTGGATTTATCTTTAAGTACTGTTTGTACTTTCAAGAACGGCACAAGGGTATCGTCTAAGTTTTTCTTCTTCAGCAGATAATTATTATTATTATTACCATTAGGTTGGCAAAACAGCGTAATGGCAAAAAAATCCTCTTAACTCCCCGATGTGGCTTCAGCAACTCCGGACCGCAACTTCAACTACTTTAGCCCCCGTGGGCACTTGTATTTATGGGTATCCCTTCCAATTGGTATGGTGCAAGTGCATAAGGGGGTTTTATGCAAATCTCCTAAAATTCAACCAGTCTCCTTTCAGTATCTTTCTGTAGAACCACTGCCTCTAGTTTTTTTCCTTGTCCAACATTCACTGCCATATAAGAGGACAGATACCACATCACAATCCAGCATTATTTCCTTTGTTTTTAACAAAATTTTTCTGTTTCTCAGTACTTTTTATTTTAATTTTTTAATCATTTCAACCCAATCAAGTCAACAAGGCCACTAGACCATAGGTGGCTACAGGGAGTGAAAGTGAAAGAGAACGAGAAGTCTGATAATGGGGAGGATTGAAGAAAGGACAAAAAAAGGAATAGGGTTCAAGAAGACAAGATTTGGTTGGTTGTTTTGTAGCATATCAACCTGAATGGGTTATTTACAGATTGTGACAACTATTAGGGAGATGAGATTATGTTTTTATATATATTTTATTTATTATAATTTTATCATATAGACAAAACCATTTTACTCACTACAAAGATGCAACTTTGTTTCAATGCATTTCAGCTGCACTTCGACGGGTCAGAATCAAAATGGTTATGAACGTTGGAATTTATATATTACTATATATTATATATTACTTTTGGAATTTATATATTACTTTCATTCGCATCACATATATATATATATATGTGAAAAATATATAGAAAATAGGAAAGAACTCGTTAGGTAAATAATCCAAAGTTCTTTAGTATTTTTGTTATTTTTAAAAAATAGTGCTCGATACAAAAGTAGAGCATAAATATAATTATTTATTTAAAAACAAACAAACAATAAAATAATTTTTAAAATCCATAGTCCTAATAAATAGTTTAAATGCCCTACAAAAGAAGATAACCCTTTATGAAGTCATCAAAAAACAAATGTTACAGCAGTTGTTTTATATACACAAAACCCTTTCAGAAAAAAATAAAATAAAAAAATAAATAAATCTCCATAGACAAGTAAACCAGACTAGGTGAAATCATCGTTTTAAATTTAGACACCCCAACCTTACCCTGACTTGACATTTGTGAATGTAACTTTATACTGATACAAATTATTAACACCTTACACCCCTGTTTATTTAAACAATCGCTCTAGCTGTTACCATAGAAATTTTTATTTCAATAATGAATATGCTATTAAAACACATAAATTTCAGAAATAAGTTATTCCAAAAAAAATTTTACTTGAAGATGGAACAGAGCTTACTTTAATTCAAATAATTATATTGAAGTTTTCGGCTCTTGTTTTGAAACATGAGAACTCTTATGTAGCATGTTGGAATCATATTTTTAAATAAATAATTATATATATTTTATATATATATATATATATATATATATATATATATATATATATATATATATACCAGGTGTAACACCAAAATTTTGTTATAATCCTTCTATTTCATTAGAAATATGCGTGGAAATTTCACAATTTTCCTATTTTAATTTTCAGATGAAATTTAATTCTTAAGTTAATGATTGAATAAGCTCATGGTGAGTTCTATAACAAAATCCATAGAAATTCTCCCCGTGACAGCTATTACAAAGATGTGATTAAATATACTTTAATATTTTTAAAAAATATTCAGTATTATTATTATTTAGATAATAAGCATTATAACATAACACAAATAGCTATATTGTAGAAAAAAGAAACTTTCGATACTGTACACATTTTTTTTTTACGTATTTATGTTTTTTTTTAAACTTTTATATAAAACAACATTCTTGTACATGTAATTATGGATAATATACATTAGTTACTAATTTTTTTGTTTAATAACTATTTGTGCTCAGTTGTTGACATTAATCTGGTGATGTTGGTGATGCTTTAAAATTTTCGAATAATGCAATAATAAAAACCTAAATTTCATCTGTGATAAATGTCGCTTTCTGTTAATGCTGAAATCTAAATATGAATATTCAAACTTTATAATTAATTCAAGAGAATGACATTATTTCATGATTAAATTTTAATTACTTAACTGCATTTTTTTTAAACCAATAATCTTACAAAATGAAATGAAGAGTGAAAATTTGTTTCTTGTTATAACAATTGAGACTAAACATAACTTATTTTTTTATTTATTTTTTTTTTTTTGACAATGTATGCCATATCTTCAATTTTATTATAAAAATGTATTGGTTATTTTGTTTTACTTTTTTAATGTATTACTGATAATTTCACTAAAAAAATGTATTGTTGGTAATATTTTTATAAAAAATGTATTGCTGGTATTTTTACTATAAAAATCTATTTTTAGTTTCTTACTGTTTTGACTTTTATTTATGGTGGGGAGGGTTAACTATGTGCCCATAGCTGGAACCTTAACAGGTTCTACTGCCCCAGGTCAGGGTGGACCTGAGAACAGCAATTAAAAGGTGGTTCCACATTCCTGAACACCGCCAACCTCCCAAAGATAGGCCTTGCTGCCGGATGTAATTTACCATCATACAAAGGACTAGAGACAGAAGATGGCGACTGACGTTGCATTTAAATTTTTACAAAAAAAAAAAAAAAAAAAAAAAAAGTGGGGGAGATATCTTGTACAAGAGAAATATTGCTTGCTTTAAAATATAAATAAGACATTTTGAAGTCCTGACCTCTATCTGAACTTGTATATCAAACACTGGTGGTAACAGAAAATGCGCAACTACTTCAGCCACAAAACTCATTAATTCTTTCTTCAGAAAACAGACTAGTTTCTTTTTAAGACATGATATTCAGGGTTGTAGCTATCCATTACATAGTCAAAATCCACACAGACCAAAGCCAGGTATTCACAAAATAAAACTAGTCAGTAAGCAAAAACAAAAACAAAAATTAAAACAAAAACTTTCTTAATTACTTTGTTAATTGAATAAAAGTCAAGGTTTTTCAAATGACCTAGAAGGCTGGCCCACCTTCATCTAAAAGACAAAAAACCACTCTACAAGGTAGCACGACAGAAACAAAACCATCAAGTCCTACTTAGCAAGTTTTAATGGCAAGATAATTCCATGTTCACTGTGACTAAAATAAAAAGCTACTCCAGTTGTCACATACACATGTCATTAAATCCAAGGGTAGTAATAATTTTCGAGGTCTTGTTTTCGCCTCAGACCTTAGAGTGTAGTAAGGACGGGGTTACAGGATCATGTGTCTCTCTCTATTCAAATCATGGAAGCACATTGATTGTGTTTCGTTGCTGTGGTTAAGCAACATCCTAATTGGTTGACTCAACCAAATAAAAAGATAATCAAGAAACAAACATTACAAGAACAAGAACTATAATTGAGTACTTGCTGAAGGAAAGCTTAGCACATTAATTCTGACAAACATTTCAGAGACTTTTTATGGAAGATCTTATTAAAGGTACAAAATTCAATTATAGCAAAAGGAAAGGAGATAGTTAAAAGGGAGAAAAATGTAAAAAAAACTACAGTAAAAAAGGAGAAAATAATAATAATAATAATAATACAATGAGAGTTAACCAATTGTTGCTCCTCCTTCATCTGAACTCGATCAAGGAAAGTAATTATTATTATATAAAGATTTTACTAGAGGTAATAATAAGAGAATAACAGAATGAGTTAAGTGGTTATTCCTCCTCACTCATCTGAACTCAACTGAGGTAAGTAATTATTATTATTATATAAAGATTTTAATAGCGATAATAATGATAATAATAAAAGAATAACAGAATCAGTTAACCAGTTATTACTCCCCACCCATCTGAATTTGATTATTGTTATATAAAGATTTTAATAGAGGTAATAATGAAAACAATAATGAGAGAATAACAAAAGGAGTTAACCGGTTATCGCTCCACACTCATCTGAATTCGATCAAGGTAATTATTATTATTATTATCATCATCATATAAAGATTTTTATTAGTAGGTAACACTATTAATACTACTACTACTACTACTACAATAATACTACTACTACTAATAATAGAATAACAGAATGAGTTAACCAGTTATCACTCCTCACCCATTTGAATTTGATTGAGGTAATTATTATTATTATTATTATTATCATATAAAGATTTTTATTAGTAGGTAACACTGTTACTACTACTACAATAATAATAGAATAACAGAAGGAGTTAATCAGTTATCACACCTCACTTGCCAAAACTTGATTGAGAACAGTAAAATATTTGTGAACAAAAAACTGACTAAAAAGGAAAGATAAAAAAAGAAAATGGACACATATCAAATATTATATTGAGACAAGTATATTTTTATAAACAGGTAACATCCAGTCCTAACAACCATTTCTTCTGACTTTGGACTAAATGTGATTTGTTTATATAAATATATATGGATGTGCAGGTGGTGCAATGTATATCAGCTGAGAAGAAAAAATTGAAGAGCCAAGTTCAAATTCTAGCCAGGTTCATTACATTCACTTATACACAAATATCTCCCCACCCCCGCCACTGCCGCAATCATAGTCATTCTCAAAAAATTGTTAATACAATATTCACTTACAAAAATATTCTTACAATCCAAAATATATTTTGGCTTTAAATAATCCGCAATCTGTTGTTAAGCAATAAAAAAATAAATTAATAAATTATAAAAATATACACATCTCAATATATGTTTAATACGTGTGTATTTTCTTTGAGGTTTCCTTTTTAGTTTGTTGTACACAAAAATTTGACTTTCCTTGATTGAGGAAAGAGAAAGAAATAAGGAAAGAGAAAGTAAAAGAAAAGAGAAAGAAAAGGAAAAAGAAAAGAGAAAGAAAAGGAAAAAGAAAAGAGAAAGAAAAGGAAAAAGAAAAGAGAAAGAAAAGGAAAAAGAAAAGAGAAAGAAAAGGAAAAAGAAAAGAGAAAGAAAAGGAAAAAGAAAAGAGAAAGAAAAGGAAAAAGAAAAGAGAAAGAAAAGGAAAAAGAAAAGAGAAAGAAAAGGAAAAGAAAAGAGAAAGAAAAGGAAAAAAGAAAAGAGAAAGAAAAGGAAAAAGAAAAGAGAAAGAAAAGGAAAAAGAAAAGAGAAAGAAAAGGAAAAAGAAAAGAGAAAGAAAAGGAAAAAGAAAGAGAAAGAAAATAATGTGAGCAAAAGAAATTTTAACAAAATGGAAAAATTAATCTGGAAAAAGAAAAGCAAAAAAGAAAATTTGCAGAAAAACAGAAAAATGAAAAGAAAAAATAATGAGAGAATAAAAATAATAAAACAAAAAGAAAATGAAAAAGTGGGAAAAATAAAGAAAAAAGAGGAAAAAGAAAACAAAGAAAAAAGAAAAATGACATAAAAAAGAAAAAGAAAAAAGGGAAAAAGAAAGCAAGAAGAAAACGAAAAAGTAAGAAGAAAAACAAAAAAGGAGAAAAAAAAAAAGAGAAACAGAAAACTAAAGAAATAATAAGAGAAGAAAAAAGAAAGTAAAAAGAAAATGAAAAAGTAAGGAAGCCATAGGACTGGACAATATTCAGCTTTTATATACTAAATATTTCCTTATAAAATGCCAGAAGGAAATGCCCAGTACACTAATAGTGATTAATTATAATCACCAGTGGCTAACCAAAAGGTTAGGCTGTTTAAGGCCATAACAAGGCCAATCTGTTTTGTTAACAATTACTTTGAATAAGGACTGAATTTCCACCCACCTCCTGAAGAACAAGTGTCAAGTCAGCACAACTCTAATGAACAACATGCTTAAGATATGACCATATGATTAAGATATGACCATATAAAAAATAGGAAGCATAAAACAAATTAAGCTTAAAATAAATACACAAGTGGCATGACTTAAACAATCTGCTAGTGTAAGCATTTATGATCTTAAAAGAAAATGACTAATTTTATTATTTTAACAGTTAAATAAAAAGTAGTAACACGAAATACAGTACTTCCTTAATTATCTGCACAACTTGAGACAGGGGCTAAAAGAATAGGTTCAGATAATTCAAAATTTCTTATAACTGAATACCTACATTATCAAAAAAGAAAAATAAGTCATTTAACATAAAAGAAATTTAACATTTATATCATCAAATAACATTTTCAAGCACTTTGTTCAAGCTTTTGTCCAGTTTATTTTTTGATTAAAAAAATGTGTCAATTTTTGTCTGTTTACTCAAATCTGAGAGTTGCATAAGCTATAATCTCTGGTGGAACCAAACTGCGACAATTCCAATGTATGTTTTTTGTATGAAAGTAAATGGGGAAATTAACAGGAATTAATTGAACTGATTTTACCAGCATTTTTACCAAATGTTGATTATTGTTTTCTAAATTCTCAAAACACTTGTCAGAGATGAAATATTAGAATGGGTTTAATTTCGATAACTGAAAAATGTTTGGACAATTTAAATTCTTCCCTTCATTTGACATTTGAAAATCAAAGTCCAGAAAATCGTGGCATGGATAATCGAAGAAGTACTGTTTTACCTTACTATTTTAAAAATAATCAGTTGAATTTCTCTTTCACCAAATCACCATCAAATGCTATGTGTACTGCCTGACTTTAGTCTTTCTCCAAATTCCCTCTAAATTTCTTTTGGAAGGGTTATATCATTTTATTATGTTCAGTGATTGAATTTTGTATATCAGAGGTACAGATTTTTCAAAAGTGGAAGTCCACTAACAATTTTTAAGTATTAAATATAGTAGTTAAACCAACATTCTTTACTGAGCGTTCCAAGAAGTAATTATGATCTGGTATTGAATGAGAGTAGTAATAGCACATATGCTGACTCCTTCATAAAAATTCAGTATGTGGAATTAATAAACTCTAAACAACTCAGTATAAGGATCAGTTTCATTTTTGTTTAATCCTCATACATGGATAATTTTCATAGAGTTTTACAAATTTAATAGCAATAGAAAATGTTGATGAATTTTTTAAACTTGAATACATCTACAGTAATTTGTTTTAATTCATAACTAATTATTAAATAAATAAACTGAAGCAGGCTTCAGTAAACAAAAGGTTCAATAGAATGCCAGGGAATTGCAATAAACAAAATTCTGTTTAATAAAAATGAATAAAAAGTAAAAGAACCCCCATACACACTCCAAAATTCACCCTATGGGGAATTGGCCTCTGGTACAGGACCCCTGATATGATATGGTTGCTATGTATGGAACAAATAGTGACAAGTATATACATATTTGTATTTTTTTTTTTATATCTTGTCATTTCCCCTCCCGCCTGAAAGGTGTGGGATGGCAGTCCACCCTGATTGAGAACACCTGATATGATATAATTTCTGTGTGTGGTACAAATAGTAACAGGTATATACATATTTGTGGTTTTTTTACATCTTGAAAAAAGTAAAAGATTCCCCCATTGAAATTCCTCCTGATGGTGGGGATCCCCTTGGTTGAGAACACTTGATATGATATAGTTTCTCCGTGTGAAACAAATAACGACAAGGACATATTTGTATTTTTTTTTTACATCTTGTCAATGAAATATTTGTGTATAATTTCTTTCAAGCATGTTTTGTTAAATAATTTACACGTATTATGTCTATTTATTTTAGTTTTAATCCTTTCAAGTTCACAAATTCGTTTCTTGATTGCTGTGGAAAATTGATCAAGAAAAATTCAAAAAGTTTCTTTCAAATAATTTTTTTTCCCCCCAAGTACTTTCAATCTCATCTGAGACCATCTTCAGGGTTTGCATATCTATGGATGCATTATGCGTTAACAATGTAAATTCTAAATATTTTTTCACCATGATACTCATAGTTGACTATTTATTTTTGGCAGCAAATCTCTTCTATAAAGGGCTTCCACAAATTTAAGTTTTTGCTTATTCTTATCTTAATGAAACACTGATGTATTTTCAACTAATATCTGTCTAAACTGTGAATATGGACACATGTGTTCCTTTAAATGTTCTGAGGTTGAACTATGATTGTTCAAGTAAAACATAAGCTTTCTAGTCATCATCGTTGTTGTAAAATTACA